GTCTGGGACTCAAACCATGGTCGACTACGTGGGAGTCCAGCGACAGCCATTATGCTAACTGCTCGTCCCAATACTGCCAAATTTCTTTATCAGTTGTAAATTATTATCAAATCTTTAATTAGGGTTAGTTAAAACCTTATTATCCATGGGTAATTACTTTGTTAACATTTTTCTAAAACTTTTTTCCAAATGGCTATAATCTTAATGTGTTATATTTCTTTCTTTCTCTTTTTTTTGTGGGGAGGGGGGTAGTTTTTTGCTATAGGGCATGTGTGCTTGCCGGAAAGACAGAGAGAGACAGAGAGACAGAAAGTGAGAAATTACACCCCCAGGGGGGATCGCCACACCACAATCCCTTCTCCTCTACTCTCCTCTTGGGGTCTTGGGCATGCAGGCACATGCTCCCTGTGTGAGACTAGCGACATAGCCATTATGCCAGCTGCTGGTCCCAAATGTCCATTATTCTGGCCTACTCTCAACTTTTTTCTTTGTATGTAACATTATTCTCGCTGAAGCATAAAGTACCATAAAGTTTGTAGAGGAATGGAGATAAAGGGCAGTGAAAGAAAGAGGAATTCTACTCTGAGAGGACACAAGAAGCAAAAGAAAAGAGAACAAGGAAGACATTTGGAGACCAGATAATAAAGGATTCCTAAAGGCACTTCTTTCCTTTTATGATGAATTACTTCAAGTTCTTTTTTACAGTTCAACTTTACAAAGCAAGTATTCCCTGTCATGTGTCACGGACAGCTTCACTCCTTCTCTGCTGCCTTTACTCAGAGCTCACTGATTTTTGTCACATTTACTGCATCACTTCATGACCGTGTGCATGCCAGTCTGTAGTTTGTAAATTCTTTTTTTTTTGGAGAGGTTTTTTTGCTATAGGGTGCGTGCGCTCGCCAGACAGAGACAGACAGAGAGATAGAAAGCGAGAAATCACCCCCCAGGGGGGATGGCCACGCCACAATCCTTTCTCCTCCATTCTCCTCAGGATCTTGGGCACGCACGCACACGCGCCCGGTGTGAGTTTAAGCCACCGGGTCCGGAACTCGAACCGCGGTCGACTACATGGGAGTCCAGCGACATAGCCATTACGCTAACTGCTGGTCCCAAGTTTGTAGATTCTTTAAGATTATTCATTTCTGTAAGTCCAGCCATTTTCCAAATGGTGGTAAAATTGACTCCTTTTTCTTCTGTTGCATATAACCTGCTAGAATTTCACGTGGAACTATATACCTCTCAAGACAGAGATTTTTTTTTTTCCTATTCTTTTCATTGCTCACAACTAGTAGACTAGCAAATAACTGGAAAATAGGAAAGAAAATTCATCAACAAGTGGAGTTATCTACTTTTAAACTATAATTTGTGAGACCCAAACATTTTCTGGCGACATGTACTTCTTTGTTATTATTGTTCTTAATTTTCTTTTGCTAATCATGATCATAAAAAAATTTTTTTTAAAAAAAGGCTTTATATAGGAGTCAGCAGGTAGCATGCAGTCAGGGTGACTGAGTCCCATACAGTCAATTCCAGAGTTAAAATAGGGACTCAGTGACTTGAAAAACATGCTAGGTGCATGCATGCCCAAAATCCTAAGAGGAGAATGGAGGAGAAGGGATTGCAGCATGGCCATCCTCCCTGGGGGGTGATTCTCTTTCTCTCTAGTGAGCATGTGCACCTTAAATAAACTTTTTTTTTTTAAAGTCCTTTTTACATCTTAGAGACCTTGAGATTGTTTCTAAGTGCCCCGTAATCATATCTTAATATTAAAAATCAAGTCTGAAGCAAAGATTTATAACATAAAACAGCCTGGGCCAGTACGGTACCCTGTGGTGAAGGCAGCAAAATCCCATATGGCTAACCCCCCACCCCCACCCCCAAGTCCAAGACCTGGCAGCTTAAAAAACATGCCAGGCACAATGGGTATGTATGCTCAAGGTCCTAACAGAATGGAGAGGTGAAAGAGAAGGAACTGTTGTGTGACCGTGCCCCATGGAGAGTGCTCCAGCTCTCTCTTCCTCTCTGGTGAGGTTATGGGCCCTCTGACGAAATTTCAAAAAACAAAGTAAGAATAATAAATAAAATAGCTCAACTTAAGATCAAGAAGACTCCCTTAATTTATAAAATGTGTGTGCTGGGGCCAGCAGGTGGCTGGTGGTTAAGGGCACTGGACTCCCACATGGCCGACCACAGTTATATCTGGCGGCTTGCTTTCTCTCTCTGTCCCCCTCTCACTCTATCCCTCTCTGGTCAAATTAAAATAAATAAATAAATCTAAATAAAATAATTCTTAAAAAAATAAAAAGTGTGTGCTTAAAGGCATAATTCTTCAGGCTTAGGGTGTATAACCTCTACACATCCCACAGAAAGAAATGGTCCTTGACTAGCCCATGGAAAAAACCCTCTAAACCCTTAGAATATCCTGCCCAGTAAGTGTGTTTGTATATACCTTAGCCATGATTGAAAGTTTATGTAATAATGTGATTTGTGGTGAGCTCTTGGCCATGCTGTATCAGTTCAACCTTTGGAGGGGCTAAAGACAGAGGAAACAAAAGTCAATCATACAAGCACTTCATGCCCACCGGACTCCCAGTAAAAGCCCTGGGTTCTACAGCTTGAAAAAGCGTCCCTGGCTTGCAACAGTTTTCTGCTTGTTTCTTTTCAATTAATTGCACGCAGGCATGTGCACTCACCAGAAAGAGAGAAAGAGAGAGGAAAAAAGCACCTGCCAGCGGTCACACTGGCTATTTCACTACACAATCAGTCAAATGTTTCCTCCCTGAGAAAGGATTTAAAGATGTCAATTTCAAAAGACTGGATATTTTAACATTCAACCGTCGGATGCTCCTAATTAGCCAAGATGAATCTTTTGTTCACAAATGTAGTTGTACTCCTTTCGAATCGATTCCTATTTTCAGATTCTAGTTTTTATAGACAAAGAGAAGTTGACAGTGCACTAGAAAACTCAAAATATTCGACAAGGCAATGTGATCAAATTCATTGTCCACGAGTGGCCACCCGGAGATAAGGACTGCAGTGTCTGAGAAATTACCTAGAACCGTAAGCCATCAAAAACACTCGCAGGGGAGACCAGCAATTAGCGTAATGGCTATGTCGCTGGACTACCACGTTGTAGACCGCGGTTCGCGTCCCAGACCCGGTGGCTTAAAACTCACGCCGGATCCCCAAGATCCCGAGAGGAGAATGGGGGAGAAGGGATTGTGGCGTGACCATCGCCCCTTGGTGGGGGTGGAGTGATTTCTCGCTTTCTGTCTCTCTGTCTGGCGAGCGCACGCGCCCTATAGCAAAAACCTCTCAAAAAAACCCAACCAAACAAACAAAACAACAAAAAATAACACTCGCAGGAACCTGAAACGAAGCGCACATCTTCCAGGCGACCTGCGCGCGGTTTGCTTTCCTTTTGCCGGGACTCGCGCCAAACGCCAATCAGCGGCGACGCTGGGCGTTGACGTGTACGCGGTGACGTCGGGGCAAGATGGCTGCTCCCTGCGCCGTTTCTACCTGAGTGTTCTGCGCCTCGCCGGTGGGGGCTCTACGTCAAACAGACCGTCTCCCAGCATGTTCTCGCTCCGAGGCGGGGGCCGCTGGCTGGCAGCTTCCCTTACCAAACAGCACCTTCCTTTGGCCCGGTTCAGTGGCGACAGCGCGGCGCCTCGGACTCCCCACTTCGACGTGGTGATCATTGGGGGAGGACATGCTGGGCGCGTGCTGCCGCTCGGTGCGGTTCCCGGACTCTGCTTCTCACGCACCGTGTGGACACGATCGGTGAGGAGCACGGGCGGTGTGGACATTGGCGTAGGCGCGGGCTGCCAGTGTATCTCCCTCCCCCAGGACCTGATATGTGCGACCTGCTCTCTCCCCAAGACAGATGAGGTTCCCCGCTCTCCTGGTTTCAGCCTTGATTTGTGTCTCTCGGGGACCAGGCAGGCGCGCCTCGGACTTTTTATTCTCTGTGTCGGGGGCCACAGACTGAGTTGCGGCGGACAGAGGTAGTCAGGCGCGGGGGTGGGGAGTAGGGACCGCGCCGTGGAAAAGCGAGAAACTTCAAGAATACTTGCTGAGGGAACCAGCAGTTAGCGTAATGGCTATGTCGCTTGGACTCCCACGTAGTCGACCGCGGGTTCATGTCCCGGACCCGGTGGCTTAAAAAAACTCACGCCGGGCACGTGTGCGTGCGTGCCCAAGATCCCGAGAGGAGAATGGAGGAGAAGGGATTGCGGCGTGACCATCCCCCCTGGGGGGGTGATTTCTCGCTTTCTGTCTCTATGTCTCTCTCTGTCTGTCTGGCTAGCGCACGCGCCCTACAGTGAAAATCTCTCCAAAAAAAAAATACTTGCTGAGAGCTCCTTAGGTCATTGTTGCATTTACCCTACACAGTCGTGTTACTTCCTAGGAAGGGTGAATTAACAGAATTAATAATCGTTTATTAAACGACAGAGGCGTTTTTATCGAGATTTGCTGAAGCCTTCCTGGCGAACGATGTTGCATATCGCATCCTTTCTACTTAATGTCTATACCCCAGTTTTGTATTTAGGACATGGTACTTTTTTTTTTTTTCTGAGAGTTTTTTGCTATAGGGCACATGCTCTCGCCAGAAAGACAGAGACAGAGAGACAAACAGCGAGAAATCTCCCTTCCCCCCCTCCCCCCGGGGGGGGGGAATGGCCACACCACAATCCCTTCACCTCCATTCTCTCCTCGGGATCTTGGGCACGGATGCACACGTGCCCAGCGTGAGTTTAAGCCACCTGGTCCGGGACTCGAACTGTGGTCAACTACATGGGAGTCCAGCGACATAGCCTTTACGCCAACTGCTGGTCCCAGTATTTTAATTTTCTAAAAAAAAATTTTAGAGGTTTTTGTTTTCCAGCACATGTGGTCACTGGAGAGAGAGAGAGAGAGAGGGAGAGAGAGTGAGAGGGACAATGAGAGGGAAAGTGAGAAATCATCCCCAGGAGGATGGCCACGCAGCAATCCCTTCTCAATTCTCTTTCTCCAATCTTGGGCATGTACACACCAGGCCTTGTGAGATTCAACCTGTGGTTTCAGGACTCAAACTGTTGTAGGCCATGTGGAAGCCCTGTGACTTAACCCCTATGCCATCTCCTGGTCCACGAAAGTACTTTATCTTTTGCTTCTAATAGTTTATGGTAGGATGGCCATAATTTAAAGCAAGACAATTCTCTGGGATCCTGAGAGATGCCAACTAAAACAGTCTTTTAAATTACATGCATAAATATATGCTCCTCTTTCCTCTTCCTGCTTTTTAGGAATGAGTAGTAATTAGAATATTAACTATTTTGTAAAACTATGAATGAAATATATATTCGTGTACTAAAATACTTGTTTAAAATTGCTATTCAGCCAGTAACAGTGGAGATATATATACTAACAATGATTGTTCTTGGAGAGAGGAAGCTACATGATTACCTGAAAAATGATACTTTGCTTATTATAAACTTAACTATTATTTACATTAAAAAAATGCTTATGGTACCTATACAATAATTTAAAAAATAGAATGCTTACATTCTATTTTTTAAGCCTAGCGGTTACATTGCTGGACTTCTACATGGCTGACTGTGGTTTGAGTCCCCAACACAGTGGTTTCAAAATCAAGCCTGGGAGGGACCAGCAGTTAACGTAATGGCTATGTCACTGGACTTCCACGTAGTCGACTGCAGTTTGAGTCCTGGACCCGGTGGCTTAAACTCACGCTGGGCGTGTGTGCGTGTGTGCCCAAGATCCCGAGAGGAGAATGGGGGTGAAGGGATTGTGGCGTGGCCATCCCCCCTGGGGGGTGATTTCTTGCTTTCTGTCTCTCTGTCTCTCTCTGTCTGGTAAGCGCACGTGCCCTATAGCAAAAACCTCTCCCAAAAAAAAAAAAAAAAAAAAAATCAAGCCTGGGAGACCACCAGATGGAATAATGGTTACCTCTCTGGACTGCGAAGTAGTAAACCACAGTTTGAGTCCCAGACCCAGTGACTTGAAGCTTGGTGGGCACATATGCATGCATACCCAAAATCCCAAGAGGAGAATGGAGGAGAAGGGATTGCAGCATGGCCATCCCCTCCTCAGGGGTGATTTTTCACATGCCCTATAGCAAAAATCTCTCTCTCAAAATAAATAAATAAAAATCAGACCTTGCATGTGTGTATGCATGCACAAGATCCCCGGAGAATGGAGGAGAAGCGATTGTGGCACGGCCATCCTTGGGGCGGAAGGGTGGGGAAATTCTCACTTTCCTTCTCACTGTCTCTCTCCTGCAAGCACTTGTGACTTAAGGCAAAACCCTCTAAAAACAATGTGAAGGAGGTGGCAGCAGCTTGGCTGTGGTGCCGTAGTAACTGAGCTGCAAGCTCCTGGCAAGTGGGTGTGCGTGGAACCCTGGCCTTGCCTTGGGTTGCATACCCCCCCTTAAAGGATTCGCACCTCTGATACAGCTAGTGTGCTGAGTCTGTCTAGGCCGGGGCAATGTGAAGAATCTCTTGGGTCTGAGCGTGCTCTGGAGTTCCTGGGACCAAGTGTTTGCTGCTTTCTGGCAGAGGTCCCAATCCCTATAGCAGACATGCCTTGACTGAAGACATAGTACACCAGGAGGTGACCCCTGACTGGAAACTGCCCTCCTGACGACTCCTGACCAAAGCCAACAGGACACCCTGCTGGGGCAAGCGACCATTTCCTGCCAATGTTGCTCATTGGTATATATCCTAGAGGACTCTATTGTGGACCTACAGAATCAGACCATGCGCAGTTTCGCCAGCTGATAGTGGTGGAAGAATGATGTGTTTACTGTGTAAGCTCTTGTAATAGCAACTGGACCAAACTGCCCAAAAGCCTGGGAGTCCTCTAACTTATTTGGTGTCTCCAGGGTTATCCAGGAGTTTGGTCTTGCCTAGTTCAAAAAACGTGACTAAAACTATGAAGGGTTTGACTAAATTTTGGCTAAGCAGCAAGGCAAGGCCCCTTCCAAAATATTTGAGACAGCCAAGGAACCCAAGAAAGCAAAGGAGACACAGCCAGCAGCTACAGAAAATGTCAGGGACGTCATCAACAAGGAAGCCACCAAGCAGCAGCATTGTAGCCAGCCCAGCCTCCTTGCAGTGCAGCAGGAGCAGCTTGCCTGGGCTCCCTGGGCTGTCTCCCCATGTTTTTAAAAATCCACTTCCAGGGGCCAGCAGGTGGCATGGTGGTTGGAGTGCTGGACTCCCACATGACTGATCACGGTTCAAGTCCTATACCTGGAGGCTTGTGTTCTCATTTGCTCTCTTTCTCTCTCTGGTGAGTGCATGTGCCTTATAGCAAATTTAAATGAATAAATTAATTTTAAAAATTAAAATGAATATACTAAATATTTAAAAAATTAAACTGTGAGACCAGTAGTTGGCATAATGGCTATGTTGCTGGATTCCCATGTAGTCGACCTCAGTTAGAGTCCTGGACCTGGTAGCTTAAACTCATGCTAGGCGCGTGTGCGTGCGTGCCCGAGATCCCAAGAGGAGAATGGAGGAGAAGGGATTACAGCATGGCCCCCCCCCTGGGGGGCGTGATTTCTCACTTTCTGCCTTTCTGTCTCTCTCTGTCTTTCTGGTGAGTGCATGCACCCTATAGCAAAAATCTCTCTAAGAAAAATTTAAAAATAAAATAAATAAGAATTAAACTGAATAAATTTAATTAAAAATAAAATCCACTTCCAGGGACCAGCAGATGGTGTAATGGTTACATTGCTAGACTCCCACATAGTCAACCACAGTTTTCGTCCTGGACCTGGCAGCTTAAATCTCACACTAGGTGTTTGTGCACATGTTCCTAAGGTTGCTGAGAGGAGGATGGAGAAGAAGTTGTGGTGTGGCTATCCCCCTTGAGGGATGATTTTTTGTGTTCTGTCTCTCTGTTTCTCTGGTGAGCACACATGCCCTATAGCAAACAAAATCTGTCTTAAAAAGTTTCACTTCCAGGATCCAGCAGGTGGTGGTTGAAGCACTAGACTCCCCCGTGGTCAAGTACAGTTTGACAAGTCTAGTCCTGGATGTAGCAGCCTGAAAATCACAGTGTGCATTTGTGTGCATGCCCAAAATCCCAGGAGGAGAATGGAGAATTGTTGCATGGCCAGCCCTCTTGTGGGTGATTTTTCACTTTCTTCTTACTGTCTCTCTTCGCCCTACAGCAAAAACCTTAAAAAGAAAAAATCCACTTCCAGCCCTATCAACTGTGTGGGTGGTGGGTTGGTATTGTGTGTTCTGTTTGGCATCTGCAGTCCATGAGGCATTTTACTTGTGTCTGAACCAGGCCTTCTTATTCCCCATTGGGCTGCTGAGGACAGAGGCACAGATATGTGAGCCACCCGGGGTAGCTATGTTCAGGTGACATTGTAGTAACACTGAATGTGAGCTCAACAAGTGATAGTCTCTTGATTTAGTTCTCTGCTGTGTGTCCCAAGTACCTGAAACAATATCTAGCACATAAACAGTTGTTGAATTCAAAAAAGAAATAATAGAGATTCTAGTGAGCAATAAATATTACTGTACTAAGATGATAACTAAATAGTATAAGTAATATAGTTCTGTCAGAGATAAAGAGATTCCTATCAAAACTCATATTTTCCCATCAGCACAGTATATTCTACAGTATCTATTAGATAAATACATTTCAGAGGCATTTTAATAACTCTTATAAATGAACTCAATGAATAACAGTTCTCTCATTCATCAGAGGCTCTTTTTTAAGGGAATCAGAGATAGTGGGCTACCAAGTATTTCTACTTG